ACCCCTCACATGCCAGGATAGGTCACCAGACCCTTCGCACACAGGTCTATGAGCTAGATAACCAGCCAAAAGTTCCTTGGAGCTGTAGGTTTGAAAGCATGGCCACGTGTGGTGGACACCCGAGGCAGATGCCAGCCAAGCTGCGTGCAGGTGCACTAACTCCACCCACAAACACAATTTGCTTACAAAGAATGCTCCACACCACCCCCAACCAGATGGGCAGATGAGAGGGCCTGATTAAATTATTCTGTTTTCCCAACAATACCCATGTGCAGAGCAGCATTATTCACAATAGCCAAAAGGTGGAAGCAAACTAAACGTCCGCTGATGGATGAATGATCAATAGTATGTGGTATGTACATACAACGGAATACTATTTGGCCTTAAAAAGGAATGAAATCTGAAACATGCTACAGCATGAACCTTGAGGACATTATGCTAACTGAGATAAGCCAGTCACAAAAAGACGAATACTGAGTGATTCCACTTACATGAAGTATATAGAGTAATCAAATTCGTAGAGACAGAAAGTAGAAAGGTGGTTGTCAGGGGTGGAGGAGAGGAGGGAATAGGGAGTTATTGTTTTATGGGTATGGATTTTCAGTTTTGCATGATTAAAAGAGTTCTGGATGGGCCGGCTCCGTGGCTCACTTGGGAGAGTGCGGCGCTGGTAGCGTCAGACTGCGGGTTCAGATCCTGTAGAGGGATGGCTGGTGCGCTCACTGGCTGAGCGTGGTGCAGACCACAATGTGCCGAGAGTTGCAATCCCCTTACTGGTCAAAAAAAATTTTTTTTAAAAAGAGTTCTGGAGATTGGTTGCAGAACAATGTAAATGAACTTAACACTATTGAACTGTACACTTAAAAATGGTTAAAATGGTAAATTTTATATTATGTTTGTTTTCCCACAATTAAAAAGAAATGTCTCCACACATTGCCAAATGTCCCCTGAGGGCAAAATTGCCCCTGGTTGAGAACTACTGGTTTAAACACTGAGGATTCTTGAAACTGAATCCCACCCAGGACACACAGTTAATTTTCAGTTATTAGTCAGAATTGAAACCAGCAGATGACCCAAAAATACTTGTATTTGCTTTTAAGCAAATAATAAGTGGTTTGTCTAGAGAGTTACACCCACAATTGTGTTCTGGTTAGGATGGTATTAACATTGTCTGGGAGCCAGGTCCAAGGCAACGTGTCAATTTGATTTTCATATGTCTGATCCACAGCATTTGGGAGGTACAGGATGCTGCAATATCATTTATTCATTCATTTTTTAAAGTATTTATCAAGGGGTTACTCTATGCCAGGCACTGTTATAGGTGCTTGGAGTACAGCAGTGGGCAAAACCAACAAAAATCCTTACCTTAAAGGATCTTGCAAACTTTACTTTCAAGTAGGCAAGAAATCTGGAACAGCAAATAGTCTCACCCACTCTAACCACAAGGACCTAGGAGATGCAGATAACAAGAGCCATTTCATCCTAAGGCATTCTGAGAGCCTTTGGATAAAGACCTGTGCTGCAAATGGCAGTTACTGCCTCTGTTCTGCTCACAGACCCTGCTGGGGAGCATGGCCTTCCTGCAACCATGGTTTTTACTGTATGACCCACCTTCTTCCCCATCCTCAGTCAAAATGACTAGAGTCAAGAATGGCCCCTTGGGGCCGGCCCGTGGCTCACTTGGGAGAGGGTGGTGCTGATAACACCAAGGCCATGGGTTCGGATCCCATGTAAGGATGGTCAGTTAGTTCACTCGGTAAGTGTGGTGCTGACAACACCAAGTCAAGGGTTAAGATCCCCTTACTGGTCATCTTTAAAATAAGAATGGCCCCTAACCAGCAATCTATAAGCAACCTGTCACAAAATGGTAAGCTGGACTAATGAGATTCCGTCTCTCAAGAATATAAACTAAGGAATGCTGAGAGAATGGGGCAGGTGGCAAGGGGAGCTGAAGCTAAGAGGATGTATAGGGAGCAAGCAGGAGGTGGAGGTGGGCCCATGAGCACCCTGTAAGAGGAAGGATGAGGTGAGGAAGCAGACACGATGGATAAGCTGAAGCTCAGGCCAAGCACACGTCCAAGGACACAGACAGGTGGCAGCACAAAGAGACCAAAACTGACCCAGAGGAGCCGATCCCCAGGACTTCCTCTTCTGCAAACAGGTTCCAGTTCCTGCCCTGGACGGACTCTTGGAGGATGACCATTCGATTTCGGTCCTTCACCCCCAGCCCCCCTCTATTGTGCTTATGTATTGTTACAATACACACCTACACATACTCTTATGTGGACTCATGTGTTCCTTGCAACCCTGATTAAAACACAGGTAGGATGATTTGTGAATGACAGCCAAGCACATTTTACTTTGCCCCACTCCCCTTTAACATTTTAAATCTCA